TACACAATGGGCTATCTGTGCTCTTCCCACCACGGGTATCGAAACCCGGTTTCTAGCGTTGTAAAAATCTAATGTATTGCCTTACGAAGTTATATGATTCTTGTACCTACATTTATTCCATCAAGCACTTGTTAGGAAAAACTAACCTCTATTACTTTTGTTTCCAAGTGTGTTCATTTGTGCAGGCGTATTTACAATATCAAAGAAAAGAGCGTGTCCAGACTTTTATCTATAATTTTAGTTATTCGTGATGATGATCGATTACTCTTTGTACGAGAAAACATTTTGATATAGCTGTTTCGTTGTTGTTGTTTATTTCAGTTTTTTTTTAAGCTGAGTTTACTGTTAATGTGTTATGGTATCAGTAATGAAATCGGTATCTCGACTTAGGACCTGAAGACAATAAATCAAATTCCAACTGTTATTGAGGCTCTCACAATACGTATGTACATACGTAAGGGGTCTATTAACGACGCATGCGAGTTTCAGTGATTGGTTTGTTGCGTCTTTCACTAGATCGTAAATATAAAAAAGTAGCAAATTTACTTTTCATTTAAACTTTATTGATATCCCTAGTTCATATTTTTTCTGTAGTGTTTAACATAGATGTAAATACGGAAAAGTTGTAATCATGAAATTTCGTTACAGCCTAAACTCAGATGTAATTTATATTCCATGTTACGTACAATTGGTACTTTTTGGTCTCGTATTTTGTACAACTACTAGTATTAGTAATAACAAAGTAGATACTGTACGTAACCCTAATCAAGTTGATACTGGTATGTTTTATCAGTTTCAAAATGCATCTGATACTAATAGACCTAGAGGTACTAATTTATGGCAGAAACAGGTGATAATCCCTAAGAATCCTGCTGTGTATCGTTTAAAAAGACTGTCTGCAGAAGTTGTACTGGATAATTTTCAAATAAACAGAGATACAATTATTCGAACGCAAGATTCCAGGGCATTAGGAGCAAAGTATTTAAACGAGACTGAACTCCCAACCAATGAAGACTGTATTTACTGGTGTTGGAAAGTGCCAAAATGTAATGTTGCAGTATATGAAGAGAAGGTATTAAGCCTATATATCATCATTACATTTTCAGTTCTTGTTTAACAAGAAAAAAAAGTTTTCAATTTAATTATTTATTTTGCCACCTTATAATGAATTTGTGCATTTTTTTTACACTTTGCTGTTTGTACTTTTCAATTTCAAAACAAAATGAAGTATGAATGTATGAAGTTACATAATATTTTTAATCTTACTAGGTGCAAATGATCTAATCAACATTTGTAATTTACTTGTTTTGTTTTTCTTGTAATAGGTCTTTGCCCAAAACCTAACAATTAAGCCACAGTAATATTAATTATAACTGAAGTAATTGTCTGTCAAAACAAATTTTTGCTATTATACAAATCACATATTATCATTTATGCAGTCTCATAAATATACTATGAAATTTGTTAATGATCTTTATGAAGATAAAAATCTCCAAATGATTTCTTGTTGCAATCATTCTCCAATTTATCATTTTTTGTTATATATATGTTTTATTCTTTGACACTTACTGTTACTAAATGTCAGTGCTTATTCAATATTTGAAGTTTTGTGATAGTTTTTAGAATAAAACATCAGCTATTGTAAATAAAACATAATAAAGTAGAATAAGTCTTAGTGTAGAAATTTATGATCATGTGAATATAAAAATAATATTGACTTGCTACAATCTAATATACCAACTGATTCAGAAGTCCACAGGTAGGCAAACAATTTGGAAATGGAGAGGTATACGAAAATATTGTTAGTGGTATGGGATGAGATGTTGAATACCTACCCTGTAACAAGTTCAGTTCATTTTAAACTTTTATTAATATGCATCATACACAAAAATAACAATAGGAAAGATGTAGTTAGTAACAAATAAAATGTTTTGAACAAACAATTACTGAAATTGCTCCACAATAATAATAGTTGCAGGTATAAATGCATATAAGATAAACACCCTTATGCTTATGCAAAATTCCAACCTTGCACCTCAAACCTAGATTTGTGTAATAACCTTTGCTACAGTCAGATGTTGATCTTCTGTTGTACAGCTCCATTTGGATAGAAGGGTTGTTTTATGTCTATAACTGTTGTTCTTGAGGGATTATTCTGGTAATCTGTGGTTTAAAATGATTTATTTGTTGTCATCTTTAGCTTTGCCAATAACATTTTAAGGAATAATGTATATTAACAAAATTTCTGAAGGACATAATCTGAAAATAACCTTGTTTGCCCTCATTGATACTGTCACAAGATAGTCTCACAATATTTTATTTCATACTACTAACAATTATTTTCCTATGTCTCTTCATTTCTGGGTTATTTTTATGGCAAAAGACTTCTGAATTGCTGTGTGTATGTGTGTTGGTGAGATTCAAAGGACATGAAATTTAATATTAAAAGTTCAAAGGACATTAAATTCAATATTAGGGTTCCATATAGACACATACTCTTTTTGTGAGGAATTTGTTATTTTTCAATACTAGTGTGTCAGAACAAGTCTGTTGCTTTTTTGTGTTTATATGAAAGAGTGTATTTCATGTGTTATTGTTTATGATAATTATTTGTGATTTGTTCATTCATGTACAAAATTATGTTATTCTTTTTGTATTCACAATATGTGTACATATTCCTCCACCTCCATTATCACTATTTTGCAGTAGTATTTATATTAATGATAATATGGGATACTTTTATTATTTCATGTAAGTTATAAGTTATTTGTTGTATTTTGAGTGTTGTAAGAAGGATATCTCCATATGTTACTGTTTTCTGAATGCCTGTGTTGTGATCATTATAATAGAGATTATAACAATAAAAACATTTTCAGAAAGGCAGCCATATGTTTCAGTTATTTTTCAAATGGTGTGTAATTTTCTCTTTAAGTTAAATGTCACCATCTTTTCTTGCTTATTATCTTCTAACTGCTTATAAAATATTTTTAAAGTGAGGATAATGTACATGATTATTTTTCATTGTCTTAAGAAATTTGACAAAACTTGCATAATGTTTCAGACGAGGGGAAGCTGCTATTTGTTTGACTGTGGCACCAATGATGACTTCCTTTGTAAATTCACCAGTCATGGTTATTACACAAGTTCTATCCTTCGCATCAGCCAACATCCCTATGACTTAAGCCAATGGGGAGCTCAAGTTAAGCATGAACATGATTTGACAAAGCTACAAAAACCAACAAAATCTCCTCAACTGTCCTCACAGAGTTCAGTGCCACCTGTTAATGATCCAGTTACAAAACAGGAATCAGTACTAGAAAGTTCATCTGTTGGTCTATCAACAGCTTCTCCTTCAGAAAAGCAAAGCCTGGATGGAATTAAGAATAGACAAAAAGGTAATTGAAAAATGTTTTGGAATAATTTTTAATTTGTTTATTAATTGTGCATTTTATATTAAAACTTTAAACAACTCCTGTTTTTTGTTTTCAATACTAAATGCATTTAATATGATTTGAGTTTTACTTAAAAAACTAGTTGACCAAGTGACACAGTAAACTTCACAAAAAATCAAACAATAACACTTTCTTTGTTTTAAGTATCTTTGTTTTAAGTATTGTGACAAAAAATTTCAACACAAGAACCATTTAAGTGATATAGTATTCAACAATGTTACCAATATGACAGTAAACCTCACAATAAAATCAAACAATAACACTTGCTTTGTTTTATATATTGTGACAAAACATTTCAACACAAGAACCATTTAAGTGATTTAGTATTCAACAATATTATCAATATGACAGTAAACCTCACAATAAAATCAAACAATAACACTTGCTTTGTTTTAGATATTGTGACAAAACATTTCAACACAAGAACCATTTAAGTGATATAGTGTTCAACAATATTAACAATATGACAGTAAACCTCACAATAAAATAATTCCTTTTTTTATGCATTAAGTCTTCATTCTTTTTAAAATTTGAAACTAAAACTGTACATATAACATCTCGTGTCTACACATGGTATAGCTGCATTGTAGCATGCAAATAAGCAGGTGACAACCCTCCACCAATAGGAGTATGACACATCCTTTTAGTGCAGCTGACTACCTCTATACTATTAAGCACAATCATCACTTAACTCGTGAACTTTTCAGGTATAGGTTTATTTCAGTGGAAGTATGACCAAAGACATTGTTTCACAAGTGTCAGTAACTTCCACTTTGTCTGGTGTGAAACAACATGACTGTTCAAGCTAGCCTACTGATTACATTGACATTGAGTTTGTCTTTTGGGAGAGGTGACAGCTTTTGTGTAGCAATTGGTAGAGTATTTCATGTGGCTTGAGCCCTCTTTTGTCCCTGACATACCTCCACCTATGTTTCTCCATTATGACAGAAGGGATTTAGCTGGGTTTTTTCCCACCTACCTTTGTTTCATGTTATACCCATATTGTCGTGATTCAACTACAGCCATTTTTCGTGACTAGTTATTTCTCAGGTATATTTTTTTACATATTCAGTTATTTTTACTTTGGGGCATACATACCTCGTCCTTCTTCCTTTATTACCTCATATGACTAGGCATGACTTTGTGCTGTATTGCTTTACTACGACTTTTGAATTCTGGAGTCAGATCCTCTGTCTTTTGTTTCTATTTCTTAGACATAGGCTTTCCTACCTTCATCTTACACACACTACCATTTTCCATTATTTGTCCTTCTTTAACCTTCTTTCTGTGATAATCCACCATTTCCTTCTGGGGTTTTTGATGTATGCTCATTCCCTTATCCTTTTTTTTTTACAGTGGTGTGTTTATCTTCCTCAGCATTTTTACTTATTATTAGGTTGATCATATGCTTGAGTTGACTGGAGTGTGATGCCCTTGTTACTCAATTACTTTTGCCTCTCTTCTGTCTCTTATGCCTTCTTCTAGCTCCTTTCATCTGCTTGTATAATTTTACTGGTATGCTTGTACCTCTGGTGTCATATGTTGGGGCTGCATGCCAGTGTTATGCCTTATCTTCATTGGTTTATGGTTTCTCCAGTGCTTCTTTGCCTCTCTATGTCTTCTGTTCCCCTGCTTCCTCATCTCTTTTTGTCACCATTTACCATTCCATCCATCCATCCGTCTACTGCTCATAGACTTCGGCACTGTAAATCTTGGCAACGACTATCCCATAGGGTCTGTTTTGTTTGGTTTATGGACCCCTGACCTCCATTTGCAGCCAACTGTTGTGTATTGGGATTTCTATACTTCGTTTTTTTCCTCTCCTCCACTAATGTCTCTTGTTCCCATTATTTTACATTCTCCAAGGGATCTTGTTTCTTGCCAACGTTGGTCCGTGGCAGTGTTGGTCCTAATGTCTACAATTGCCATCAGATGGGGGTTTTCATCCTTTTCCAGGTTTTTATTCCCATTTTTTCATAGTTTCTAGGGAACCTGTAGATAGGTGTCAAGTCTTATATCTTTCATGCCTCAGTCGGTTTCTCATCTTCTCTCGCTTTTCTTAGGGAATTTCTCACCCTTTGGTGGTCTTCTGCCCAAGGTCTTGGGATGACCAAGGTAGGCATCTTGAATGCTTCTTTTCTTGTTTGGCTCTGTCCCAACAAATGTCCTACAGCCATCTTTTCTCCTCCTATGGGATGTGGTGCTTCTGGGTTGGTTGGTTCAATTTGGAGGAGTCAAATCTCACACCCATTTCCTTTCCTGGAGAATGGTTGAGGACAAGGGATCCCAAGCAAGGATCCAGAGAATGTTCAGTCCATTGTAGACATTGTAAAGGAGCCTGATCCAAAGAGATACAGGATTCCATGAAAGCCCAAGTCCCAATCACTCTATGTCCCTCAAAAGAAGAGTAGAAGGTTGGGCCCTGCAGAAATAAAAACAAAAAAACATCTAAATGAGGTTCCTTACTCAAAGACTTCACCTGGTGACTTGATAAAACTACTCCCATAGGGAGTATTCCTCTTCCTCTCATCTGGGCCTCCTTCTGTTTCCAGATGTCACAGATTATGGGCATGTCTCAACTCTCATGTGAATTCAGGTCATTGGTACAACAACATATTATCCCTTCAATTCCATTTTTTAGAACTTTTGGTGGTAAATTGAATTTTGGATTTTGTTTTTAGAATGGCTTGTAGACATATCTTGATGATACAAACAGTTAGCTTTGCAGTTATCTCTGTTATTAATCACAAGAGGGACACATCCTCTTGCTATTCCTATTGCCACACTATTGATCTCCTGTTTTGGCCAATTTTATACAAGTATATCTAATAGCTTGTTCTATTCTGGGTGCTCCAAGTCTTGTTGTGGATTATCTCTCAAAGCCCGCCAAGAATTACCCATGGATTGGTCACTCGGTCTTCTGGTGTTCAAGAGGCTGTGCTCTCATTTGGACATTCTTCTTCTCAACACTCTACTCCCCCTTTTCTGGTTCCCTGTTTCTTTTCCCTCAATTTTAGGTTGGGGTGCATTCTTTCAGGACTGGTCCAACTTTTTCTTATCCATACCTACCCTCCTACTCATCTTCTTCAGCATGTTTTCCCTCATTCTGGACACTCCACTGTACTAGCTGACTCAGCCATGGTTTCCTCTGTTACACCTTCTCCTGTCACTCTCCCTACTTCTCCCATCCAGCAGTGTCGTTACTTTGACTTCACATGTCGGTTTTGTCCAATCCCATGCAAGATGTTCCAGACTCTCTTTATGTGTAGCTTTCCTTTTTTCTTGTTCATTTCGTTCTTCCTCCCTCCTTGTCTAACCATGACAAATATGTACATTCCGGAGTTGGTCTCTGCATTATGTTTTCTTCCATTCCCTTCCTTCTATCCCCCATTTTACTGAATTTTTTTTGTTGGTTGTTCATACAAGGCTTATCACTTTTGACCATGGCTGGTTACCAGGCAGCTCTACCTAATACTTTTGGATTTTCTCATTATCTTTATGTATTCTCCCCTCCTGTCTTTTCTTGCCACATTTGTCTTTCAGTCCTTCCTGACGTGGACCTGAATACTGTTCACCATGCCCTTACTTTCCTCTTTTTGACCTTTTAATCTCTTGTTCTTTGTACCATCTTTTGCTTAGGTCCTGCTTCTTACTTTTTGCCTGTGGCCATAGGAGATGTGAATTGTAGGCCATTGCTGCTTTCTGTATTTTTTCCTTCCATTTCTCAATATTATTCTATTTCTGTTTTGAATTGTTTTCTTTGTTCCATCCAGGTGGTTCCTTGTTCTTTGGTCTGATCTGCACCTTTTCATGGTTTTTATTCTCATCTCTTTATTCTTTGTAATTCCTCATCTCCCTGAGATATTTCTCATATTACTCTTAAGGGATGACTACAGCATCTCATCTATTTAGCCTAGCCTCATTGGATGTAGATTAACTATGACTCTTTCAAGTCTCCTCTCATCAAATCTGACACTTTAATTTCTCTCTGGCTCTTCACTTTTGTCATCTGTTCAAGATATTCATGCTAATTGGCATGTGGAGTACCCCACTTACTTTTGTCACATATTTTCTTCAGCTTCTGGGCTGTCTCTTCTTCTTCTGGATATTGACTTCTTCCAGTCACCATTCTACATACCCCTCACCGGCTCTGAATGGGCAAGTTCTCTCTTTTTATATATCTTAACTTTACATTGGCCTATTTCTAGATGTCTAGATCTTACTCAGTAGAGAGTGGTGCCTCTCCTGGTATACTTACCTTTAAATCTGCACCGTGCATCCTTTAAAAGTCTATGATGCTCCCTGATGAGATGGGGTGTTCTACAAAATTGCTTAAGGGTTCCTCGTGGTATGTTGCTTCATAAATAAGGTCCATATCAGACTCTACAAACTTGTGGACTGTTAGTGTTGGGATTGGTGCCCATCCCTCCAGTCCTAGTTGAATAAATTGGGACCAGCTTGCTTTTCAAAATATAGTTTTTGTGGTTACCCATTGTATGGTTTTAAGGTGTTGCATTCCTCTGGATTCTCCGCTGCATTGTCCTCCCCCTCATCTAACAGAGTACAGGAGTCCTTGCCACTTACCAGTTCCTAGTTGTTGAGGTGGTGTACCATGGAGGCTTATTCCTAAGTGTGACCACTTCCACTCAGTTTAGAGTAGGGTGGTGGTGAGTACTCTTCTCCTACTCGAAACCAGAAGACAAATACCCTATGCTGCCTGGTTTTGGACTGGACGAATCCACCACATGCAGCTCACCCCTCTGGCTGGATTTCCTCCATCCTACTTATGCCTAGAAGTTATTTCTCAGGTGGTCTGGTGTTGGATCAGTGTAGGACCAGCCAACATAAGTCCTCACACATGTGGTTGGTAAAGACTCTTTTCCTACCATGGACCAAATGAAATATTCCTGATGTTGCTTGGTTTTGGACTGGAATTGACTCAC